TCACTGACTACTTGATCTATACTGATGCGTGAAGGTATCTGACATCGTTTGTGTAAATACCCATCAGGATTACGTTAATACGCCTGCCTTCAACAGGATCATACGGCATTTTGCGGTGTGCTTGAAAATTGGGGTAAAGCTTTGAAAACTATTTGTGGGCTAAAAATGACATCGCTGGTGCTATGCTTAATCTTAATATTTTTCTGCCTCTGGAAGCTTATCTCGCCTCTCACCGGTTTATATTTGGTATGAGGCGAATTTGGCAAGGGCATGATTCAATAATTGCACTTTGAGCTAGGTACTTTTGAGTGACTTTTCTGTTACGGTGCTGCAGAGAGGTTGATTCTTGATGGTTACCACACTGTGAATACGTCTGTCCTTTCTATGGGTCCTATTGCTTAAGCAAAAAAATTTAGTAATTGGTAGTGTTGAACACCAAGATGCTTCCTCGGCTAGTATTAAAAGATGTAGGCCATTCTACAAAGGACGGCCGTGTCTACCTTGAAGCACATTGCAAATACATGTAATGATTTTATGTGCTGGCCACCAACGTGTTTTCCAATAGCAATGCACCATCCGGATTATTCTTCGACATCTGTAAAGCTTGTGTTTAGGAACAGTTAGAGGCTGGAGGTATTTTTACGGGTTTAATATCATGAAGGACGTTGAAATTCTTTTGTCTGCTTGTTCCATGTTGCTCCACATGACTTAAACATGTAAACTTAGCGTTTGTCATGAATTTTATGAACTATATTGTATCTTTCGAGTTGTCTCTAGAAATGGGTGAAGGTTGAGTAAGGTGTTGATGTGCATTTTTCATTGTCTTCTCTCTCACATTGCATTGTATTTGCTAAGTCTTCAATTCACGTCTTGAAATGCTTCTATGGGCTATAGGGATTCAGTTTTCGGAGATTCAACATGTCACGCTAAATTGACTGTAGTTTGTGATCTCCTATGGGCCAAGCATGTGATGATGGTGTGTGAACTCTACAACCAACACTATATGCACGTTGTTAATCATTAACAGGGCCAGTAGTAAAGATGGAGTTTTGTCGCAAACGCCTTACGGAAGAAGAGGCCAACGAATTGACCTCGGCTATTGCCGAACGCTACTGGTATCAAATGTACCTGGACGAGCTCTCTCTAGTCGGGGTAGTTGGTGAAATGCATGACGGCAAGGCGATGCTGTGGACTCACAAGAAGTTCGATATCCTCTACAACCACAACCAAATCGTCGGTGTCTCTCTGGGCACATCAGATCCAATCGAGGTTGCCGCTGATGTTGAGGTCATTTACACCTACGAGGTTCGTCTGACTTCTCAGCTTTGCAAGTGTTAACGAATACTTTTGGATGTTTATGATTCTGGCTGTCTCAGGCACTGGATCTGTTCAACCATTATCATCATTTTGCCAAGTGGACTTTCTTAGTTGAAATAACATTGATTTTAGAATTTAACCCTTAAGACGGCTGTATTTTGCATCTAGAGCATCTTATGCTTTAAATGAGTCCTATTAAGAATTACTTGAAGTGCGTCTCCATTCACCCTTCACTTCGCACTTGTAAATCTGTTCGCCCGCCTCTCTCGGCTAATTCTTACTTTTAATAACGTGAGACATTATGCCGCTAAGTCACCACCACTGCCAGCCCTTTTTCCAAGCAATTTCTTAGCACGCTTTCGATTCGTTCAAAACTGGCCTACTCGAATGCTAGTCATGATTCGAAATATAGGCTTGGGAAGGTAATGAAGGATTGATTTGATGTAGAAAATCTTTTTTGCGCATTCAACTTTCCATATAAAGTTCTTTTCTGCTGCTTTT